CCTGCCTCCCCTCCCCCCCCAACCACATTCCCTACACAATAAGAAAAAGTCATAGATAAAGAAACTTGGTATTTCAAACAAAAAAAAAAACATAGTTTGAGACTTTCTTTTTGGTGAATTCAAGAAATCTTCGATCGTTTAAGAAATCGATGTTTTTATATATACATGGACTTAGATATTGAATCTATGTCACATGTTTAAGAGAAAAAGTTATCTATCAATCATCTTATAAACATTTAAGGAATTGACGTTTTTCTATATATTCAGACTTAGATGTTAAATCATGTCACATGCTTAGAAGACAAAATTATCTACCAATCACGTTAAGTTCATTTAAGGAATTGATGTTTCTCTAAGTACATGGACTTAGATATAGAATCCCGAAATATGCTTAAGAATTAAACTTATCTACTAATCATGCCACACCATGCTGATTTAGTTCGGAAGTACCTGAAGTAAAGCCATTGGTGGCATGAAACAACTCTTCATAAGAGAAGCATTTCCAAGAGGGTCTTGGAGGGTGCTCTTCACAAGGAGGAACCACCAACTCCACATCACTTTCTTCCCCAAACCCTCGTTTTCCGAACGAGAAGAGCCTCTTCAAGCTGTTGCTCCGAATATACTTCATTGCAATAAACAGCGAACAGGGGACTCTGTTTTCATGCAGAGCAAAACAGAGAACAGGTTTTGTCCTTTTGTTTTATTTCTGACGTGAAAGAAAACAAAGAGTGTGAGGTGTGTTGTTGTTGTTATGTTTTCTCACTGTGTCTCGCTCACACAGAGACACGCAAAGGGACACAAAGACATAGAGGGTTTTAAGGAGGAAGAGAGAGTCAAAAGGGATGTTTGTTTGTGAGATTGGGTGAGAGAGAATTAAAATGTGTGCATAGGAAAGAAAGAATAACTGTGCATTGCATGTGTACTTTGGAGTCTCTTACATACGATTAAATGCCTTGTCTCGTATAAACAAGTAATGACAGTACCATTTTCAAGACATATGTGGCAATAGAAGCTAACTCAGCTCACACATTAAAGAACAAGACAATATTTCTCTCACCCTACAAAAACAATTGCTATTAAGTTTTCTTAAAAAACACAATAATAATTTGGTTTATTTAAGAAAACACTACTCTTAATTATTAATGTACTTTTATCATATTTATATTTATATTTAGTAATTTATATAATAGTATTTTAAGATGTTAATTAATAAGAAAGAAAATAAAAATATTGTTTACCCTAATGAAGTTAGACTCACCTTATTTTTATGATTCGTCTTTTATTGCATAAATTTTAATTACAACCTTTTATTAAAAAATAATCTCTCTCACAATTAAATATAACATTCTCCCTTTGTTCATCTCTTAAATGTCATTTTATAATTAGAGGAATAACGGCTAACAAAAATAAACGATGGGACATGTAGTTGATTTGATTGTAATAATATCATTGTTTTTATTAAGTTGTGTTATCATGGGTACAACTAAAAAATTACTCATCATATTTACTTAAACATAGAGTATTAAAATATTTTTAAATTTTTATGAGATGAAATACTTTTCATGTTTGGGAAATTTTGTCATAAATACACATGTTTTATGCAAACTTTGTTAGTTTTTTTTTTATTAATTTAGTTTCTACAATGTAAAAATTTATCAGCATTCGTTTGCTTTTGCTCAGACTTCAGATTCCTTTAGGGAATAATGATGAGCCACTTTCCTGGTTGCTTCTATTTAAGGAAAAAATTTCGTTCATTGCTTAATTTTTAAAGGTTAATCTGACACTACGAACTCAAAATTTTGTCTCGTAATTTTAGGTTACATGTCTTAGTATAATGATATAAGAATACAAGTAAATTTCTCCAACTTAAGAGGATTTGAATTAGGTATTCTGATTGAAGAGCCATGTTATTACAAATATAGTAATGAAGTTGTTAACTATGCCATTGAGCTTTTCTCAATAGTAATCTGAGTCCCCACTGAAAAAGTGAGGTTCTTATTCCATTAGTTCTTCAATTAGTGACATAATTTGCTTACCTTTAATACATAGCTCTTTATATCTTTTTTTTTTCTCTCTTTTGTGCGCATTATCTTCAAATTTAATTTCAAAATTTCATATCCATGTTTTTTAGAATGAAAAGGGAGCTTTAATTTGGAGGGAAACTCAGTGATGGAACTAGGTGAGGAGATTGAGGCTTGGCAAGTCCACTAGTCTTTACAAGGTCCAACTCTTCCTGTATTCTTCTAGCCATAGCTCTGGTAACTGGGCTCTTGGCCCATGATCTATCACTCAGTTTACGTAGCAAATCATGAGCTAGTTAGTATCTGTATTAGAACGTTTAATTAGCTACGTCCAGTTAAGAAAGTGGCTTTGATAAACTATGCGGTATCATGATGAGAAACGAGCTCAACTGAGAAAAGTTGGTTTTATATTCTCGTTGAATTATTTTCAGATGAAAGAACAACTATGGCTTTATCTTAAAATCAACATCTATATTGCTACACCCCCCCCCCTCAAACTTCTTTTTTTTTTTTTTTTTTTTCATTAGTAAGGATTGTCTCTCCATCAAATGCAGAAATTAATCTTCTTTAGGAGTTTGATAGATACAGAGTAGTAGGTATCTTCTCACAATTGTATTTGCAATAGTTAAGATTCAATCTCTAATAAATTAGTTAAGTAATGTGAGTATTTCATCACTTGTGTCAATTCAAATTATTCTGCAACTCACCTCACCTAAACCTAAAGGTTGTACACAATTCAATCTTTTTGAGAAAGAAATATTAAGTTGAATCAAATTACTTTATAAAAATAGATTCATTGATCAAATTATAAATCATTCATTTTTTTATCCTTATACTTCAATTATTTTAGATAAACAGACAGTGATGGTATATAACTCAAACCTTTGTGATCGAAGTAACAAAAAGAGTTTAATGGAAAAATAAGTTACTTATTAGTTTTGTTAGCACTAATTAAATCAATTTTAATTTTTTAACTCCTTCATATAGTGTGAGAGATTGGTAAAACTGTATTAGTGAAAATATAATATTTATAATTAAACTTTATTTGATTAGGAGAAAGTTTAACATATTATAAAGATTTTAATGATTTTCATATCCTTATAAGTGGTATAAGATTTATATAATATACACTTGATGCAACTCTCATAATTTTATGTAGATTGTAAGAATGATTAGTATAAATTACATATTTAAACATCATCGTAAAAATATCTGATATAGAAATCTTTTTCTATGTTAGTTATTAAAATAATTGACTTAAAAAGTTAATAATAATTACAAGTATGTCCCCATGTTTTATATGATGATAGTAGTACAACAACTAACTTAAAAAGTTCCATGTGATATATGTTTTTTTTCGTCAGTGGAAGTGACACTACTAAAATTTCTTATTACATGTGACTTTTTCTGCGAATTTTTTATAAAAATTCACAGGAAATGTTGTTCCTACAAATTTTTCTGCAAAATTTTATCTGTAAGTAATACATTCGTGGATAATATGTTTTTGCGAATTTTAAAATTCGCAAGAAATTTTCCTGTGAAATTTCTTGCGAAAAAATTCGCAGGAAAGTTTCCTGAAAAAAAAATTCGCAAAAAAGTTTCTTGTAAATTTTTTTGCAAGAAATTTTGCAAGAATATTTTTTACGAAAAAATGAGCATTGAATTCATCCGAAGTATTTGTTTCCAAACCCCCCAACATGTGATACATAATCTTTTAAACTCTAAGATTGTAGATTATAAGCCTAACACTCAACCATACAAATCAACTTATAAGATAAGTGTTGCCCCAACTTATATATACTATTTAATTGTTTTATTTTCAATCGATGTGGGACTTGAAGTTTTTTTAAAATATTAAAATTATATATTTAAATATTATTTTTATTTTTCCTGCAGATTAAAATTGGCAGGAAAATTGGCAGGAAAAGTTACTTGCAAAATTTTTCTACCATTTAGTAAACATTACTGACAAATTTAGTTTTGTAAGAAAATATACAAGAAACAAAATAAAATTCTTACAATATTTTCTGTAAATTTTTACCATGGAAAATTTTTCTTATGATCATTAAAATTATAGCAAAATTTGCAAAAATTTCTTATAGATTATTTTTCATAAAAAAATTTGTAAAAAATATCTGTAAATTATTTTTCGCAAAAAATTTCTGCGAATATTTTTTTGTAGAAAAATTCGCAAGAAAATAACACTTTTCTAATAGTGTAGTATGGTTTTATTTTTTTTTAAATAGTTCAAATTATTTTTTTTAATTTGGTTCGATTTAACTTTTTTCGCACTTCAACTAAGTTCAAGTCAACCTCGCTCAATCCAATTCAATTGCTCAAACAAACAATAATAAATCATATTTTGTGACTCATTGATTTTGTGTAAATTAAATCTTTTGGGTTGGACTTGGATGATTGTTGACATCTAATCTATATATTCAATTTTCATAATTGCTTATTCCTTTTAATTTCTTTTCTTTTATATTTATCTCTAAATTAGTTTTTAATAGTTTTTTAAAGAAAATTTCTATAACTTTTTTAACTAGCTACCTTTAGACACCTGGTCAAGAAAATAAATATAAAAAAATTTAATAATAGTAAAATATGTATTTTATAGAGACATGCATAAATGTTATTTAAGAATTATGTTTTATATATTTTTAATTAATTATTTTAAATAATTTTTTAATATATAATTACCAATGTAATAAATATTTTGAATAAATTACTGATTACAATTTTTTTTTGGTATAGTAAAATTAACCTTATCTGTTTTCCATTTCATATATTATAGAAATTAGTGTTATATGATAACTGTGGTCGAAACACATGTTGCTTCTTCTGCCATAAAATTGGGGGTTAAAATCATGATGGTTGTCAAAAAATTGACCTAAAATGATGATGTTTTTCAAAAGTTGACAAGTGTAGATTTAACATTTCAAAAGATTTTTGCTTTGCAAACTTGGAAAATATGGATGCCTAGCATATATGAAATGGTTCCATGTGCCTCAGTCCAGATTTAGTTGGAACTTTAAACGTATATATGACAAACAGAAAACCAAACCAATAATGCTGAATGAATAAACTGTTCCCTATTTATTGTAGTGGATATTATATCTTCTTCGTGGAGTGAAAGATGAAATATTAAAAGGGAAAAACATTGAAAATAAACATATAAAATATACAGCTAGAAGAAACCATTCCATTATCTGTCTTTGAACGGTGGATGAACAAAGACCTAACCCTTCATAAAAGAAGTGATTAAATAAAACACACTGCTTTGGGGGGACACAAAAATCGAAGTTAATCTCACATGACCATACATAAAACATAAAAATAAAAATAAAAAAACATGGTGGCAAAGATTAGCACCAAAAAAGATGTTCAATGTTGTGAATTCTTTGAAATATATTTGGTATACTCTATGATCGATCTATATAATTTATTCATTTCACAACAAGCACTTAGAAAGATGTTATCATTCGTTTATTATTAGCAATAAGAATAATCTTGTGACAATGAAAAAAACTAGTTGTTCTAATCTTTTGGGATGATCTCTCTCTTTATACATAAATATAAAACTAATTAATAGCTCGAACTTTGAACTTCTCATATAGTTTATTAATAGACGGACGAACGAAGAATCAAAGATACTTACGATGCTTGATGATGATTTGGTGGTTTTGGTAGATAATGTATTATTAATAAACACATCCTAGTCTTATTAGTTTTAAAACCACGAAACCAAAATCTTTTGTCACTATTCAGTTAGAAGCACGCCATAGAGACAAGTGGAAGCACCTAAAGGCACGAACATGCTCATGAGGCTAAAAGTTCTCACATCATTGATCATCATAATACATTAATCCTCTCTTCCTTGTCTTGGA